AAAGGGGTATATCTAGGGGATCATATAGGGGACTTTCGGGGATATTAAGGGGGATACTAGGAGTTTAGGCTGTAGCTCAAATGCCGGGATGAAACACCAAGTTTTGCAAAGGCTTTTGTGAAACAGAAGCCATGGCCATGCGCAGTTTGCCCATTGAAGCGCCCTGAACCCTAGCTGCATCCTCATAGACCCTAAGCCTGTGACCATACAAAGCATGTACTTCCAAAGCCTAAAAAGTACCACAAGGTTGCTTTGAGGTACAAACTTCATTGCCCACTCATGTTCGCATCTAGATTGTCATAGGTTTTGTGATGAAAGACATGACATGAAGCTAACTTTGGGCAGTCGTGGCCCTGCAGGCAGGCTACGCCAGGCTTGGAGGTTCACGGGACTTAGTAACTACTTACATCACGGCTGTGCTTCCCCCTAAATGGACTTATGGGGGGGTACCCCAATCACAAAAGGTCACAACCCCCAGTTTGTAAGTAGTTACTAGGTAGCATGAACCTCCAAGTAGGCCAAGCCCTGAACCCTAAACCCTTAGAGGTTGTATGGCAGTTTGACCCAAGAGACCCTAGGCCAACCCCTGTTTTCATTGCGGTGGGAAGGTGGCCTCCAAGGCTCTGCGAGCACCTTTGCCGCTGACTTTGGGCAACCTTCAACTGAACATTGCTGTGCTGATGACTGTACCATGGCTGTTTTTTTCAGAACTTGTGCTAACCTCCTAACCCCTAAACCATATGACTGTATCATAGCGATGTGTCAGAACTTTTGTTCTAGGTCTTGGTTTGTGCATATATGGTTGTGGCTTGGGGGTCTGCAGTGGCTTTCGGGAGAGTTTGGGCCAAATATACACCCTATAGTCCCTGTGGTTTCCATTTTCTTTTCCATTATCCCAATATTACCCAATATTACCCTAGTACGAGGATGTCCATGGTTCGAGCTGGGTTTTTGATCACCCCTCGATTCTTTCCTTTGCTTCCCGCCTGTTCGAGTTGCAAGTTTTCCGGAGCAATGCGGTGGCGGGATAACGGAAACTAGCATGGAAAGTGCTATATTATATAGGGTTATGTAGGGGTAACGTAGGGACAATGGAAAGAACATGGAAACCACTATGATGGGGTTATATAGCACTGAGTTGACTGTGTACTAGTTGTTTCAAGCGAAGCCAGCGCATGTGCTTGTGCACTCATCCCTGGGGCTCCGGCATAATTACATGGGCTCATGATAGCCAGGACCACAGGATTTTTCGTTTAGTTCAGGGACCTCGATACGTAGCAGACGGTGTGCTGTCAGGTATTCTGCGGGCTCCTCACAGTGATCACCTATGCAAGTGGCAGCCTCAGTCATGCACGCGATTGCACGCGTGTGCCTGCGAAGCCCCCAGATGGGTAGTTGTACCGCAGGATTGGGAGGGCGGTGACTTCAGCGGAGGCTATTAAGGCGGCTTGTACAGGAGTTGCATGGTATTTGTGAGAGAGCTAAAAGAGTCCTCTGCAGTTCAAGATGGAATCTACCTAGATTATAATACTATAGAATCTTGCCTCCTTCGCCCTGCATAGGGTCCCTGAGCCTACACCTAAGATTGATAGAATTCTTACTCGGAGGGTCAGGAGAACATGGTTAGTATACTTATGACCCCTATAAGCCAATTAGTCGCCCCAGTTACAGAATCCCCATTATTGACCTACTTAGCCCCTCTGACCCTACAAGTGGGAACCCGTTGAAGCCCTTGTCTGGGTTCATGTATCCCATCTGCAGGATCTCAAATCACGATAGTTCCCTTTCGGACGGGGTTAGTACTAGGGCAATAAAGGAATATGATATGTAGAGATTACATAGGGATGATAAAGGCGTTTTATAGGGAGGATTATGTAGGGATAATATTCCCATATTCCCTAGTAGCCAACAGTAAGACAAAAGCTGAGATACGCAGCGAGCCGAAATGAAGACCAAGAAGATAGGCGCTCTCGAGCGAGAGACACCTGCTTGCCATTCGACCCTTCTTCGGGTTCAGGGTTTATTGAAAAAGTGCATTTTTCCAGATTTTTTCTGAATGTTCACAGTTCCTTCTTGGGAAACTGGATGAAGGCCCAGCTTTCAAACTCATAGACCTCCTGAACAATTTCCATATGCTTCGCGCACGCAGAAGGGGGAAGCTGTCATTTGGGAAGTTGCCATATATAGGGGCACCCCACTATCAACCTCCAAATGTTGTAATCCTTATTCTGGGGACCCCCAAAATGGTACTGCTAATTTTGGGAAACTCCACGTTGAGCGATTTTGCGAAGCCGCCCGCAAGACTTGCACAACGAAGATTTGGGGGTTGCCAAGTTGGGGGCAGCTTTCTGGGTCCTCCGTCAGAAGCCAGAAAGTTGTAAAGGAAGCCGTAGTCAATAGCAATGGCAGAGCCATTGAAGGATGATCTTCTTATTTAGGATTTATTTAGGCGTCTATTCAGGGCTGGCTCAAAGTCCCCTTAGAACGGTGCTTATTTACCCCGTATCTAGGGCTTGTTTAGGGTCTATTTAGGGTCTATTTAAGGTCTGTTTAGGATTTATTCGGGCTTGTTTCGAATCCCCTTAGAACGGTGCTTATCTACCCCTTACTTAGGGCTTATTCAGGGTCTGTTCGGGGCTTGCTATTCGGG